GTCTGGGTTTTTGCTTTCCCAGGCTTGGCTGCTTGGCACTGGAAGCAGCAAGAAAGGTGATTGGCTGTTGGGGGGTGTGTTCTATGCGCCGACCCCAGCAAGCTGCTCCCAGGTAAAAGAGCGAGAGTGAGAGCGTGCACGGGCAGCAGGGCTGGGGGCTGCAGGTCAGGAGGGGCACTGGCAGCGCTGGCGGGGAGGAGGAGGCAGGGGGCTGCAGGTTGGGAGTGAGGGACACCAGCAAGGGTGGAAGGTCAGGGGCTTAGGAGTGAGGGGCAGAGGCAGGGCATGAGCATATCACTGACCCCACCCCCTACAATCATATAACCCACCCCTCTCTCCTCCCCCACCCTGTAGGTGTCCTCTTTTTTGATACTGGCAATATGGTAACCCCAGCATTTGCGGCTGTGGAAAGGGGCCAGGTCACAAGTTCTGGCCTGTCCCATGGAGGCAAAAGGTTGCCAGCAGTCTCCAGTCTTGATCAGTTGTTGCTATGGTAGCTCCCAACTCTGACAGGCTTCCCTGGGATCAGAAGGGGCTACAAAGTAGACCCCTCTCACACCCTGGCTAAAGAACTTGCGTATGTCACAATTCTGTTTCACCCCAGCCTGGGGACTGTGCATGCATGCCCACCCACAGTGCTGTATTTTTTTTTATTTTTTTTTTATAGTGCTACAAATTTTGTAGCACTATAAAAATAATGACTGCCTGAGCTCTTAGAAAATACCTCTCATCTATTTCTAGAGTCCCTACTAAGCAGATCTTGCAATTTATTTGTATCATCCATAGGTGTTACTGGTGCCAGGGTTACTACATCATATGGTCAAAACAAAAATACTTTTGGAAGAAGGGAAGAACTGTGCAGTTCTTGCCCATGTACTTATAATATATCCATTAATGATGTACCCAATGACTATGATTGTGATACACCAGGCACAAGAGGCTGCTGCAGTGGTGCCACCATAGCTTTCAAATTTCAGCTGTCAGATTTTAAATGTATTCAACACAGTTCAGATGTAAAAATAAAAAAGAATTACAATTCATTCCTCTACACTGTATAAAATATGAAGGAGGTCTTTGAAATCTGCAAAGTAAAATAATGGGGGGAGAAGTTTTAGATTTGGGTTTGTTGTTTATTTTTGACATGGGACTTTTTCATTCATGTCCAGTTTACATACACTGACATTCAAATTTATTTCTTAAATCCCTGGCAGGCTACTACAATTGTATTTTTAGCTAGCAGACATCCTTGTACTTTTTACTTATATCCAACATACCTACAACATTCTCAACTTCTCCTGGAATATCATATTCTTCATCATCATCATCATCAATAGCACCAGCAGCTGTTACTTGTTTATGCGTAGCTGGAGGCTGAGCAGAAAACTGAAGATTGGCAGCTAAAGATCTACAGCCACGTTGATACCTGTAGACGGAACAGCCAAAGTTTACTTCAATTTTTTAAGTTACAGACTAACGAGAACCTGGAACAGGACATATGCCAGAGGTTGTACCCCCCAGGGGTACTTGAGAAGGCCCTAGGGGGTACACACGGGTGGGCAGGGATGGAGCGCTACCACACACCATCCCACACTGCTACGCAGGCACCACCCACCTGGCTAGACGCAGGGGAAGCTTGCACACAGCAGCTGCTGCCGCTCCACATCCAGCCACACACCACAACCCACCGCCACGCACCACAACCCTCCGCACCACATCCAGCCACACACCACAACCCTCCGCCACCCACCCTGCTCAGCTTCCAGGGGTACACTGCTCCGTGTCTGGCCACCTGGGGGTACAACGATCAAAAAGGTTGAAAACCCCTGACATATGCCATACTAAAAACTAGAGATGTAATAAGATACACAATTTATTTAATGAAAAAGTGCTGTGATAACTGGTTAGCTTAGCAGTTATCCTTTAGCTCAGGGTGGGCATAGTCTGGCAGTAAAGGGATAGAAGGGAAGCCCCATGGTGCCACAGCAAGAACCAGAAGGCAGCAGGGTAGGCAGGAGGGAGGGAGATATGAGGGAGAAAGGCCAGGGGGTACTAGTACCCATAGCCTAAGAGGAAAACAGGGAGCAGCCTAATGACTCATCAATTTAGCAATTAGCTGCAGGAGGACTGTGTTGTCTAGCTAGGCTTTCCTCCTCCCCCACTCAGTCAAAAAGCTCCTTGAACAGGGATCAACCGTCAGCAGTAGCTATATCCAAGCTGCTATATTATCAGTTTATCGTTTAACCAAAATAATTAGATAAGGTTAAATGAATATTTTGTTAAATGATATCTACATCCCTAATCAGAACCTACTTCAACATAATATTTTTTTAAACTAGTGTGGGAAAGCCTTTAACATGAACCCAAGCAATTCCTACTATATGTTTTTATATAACGAAGCATGGTTCTTACAGAAACCTGTAAGCTGAGCTACCAAACCTCCCAAGACAGGTTCATGCTAGTTTAATGGAGGCCTTCCATCTAAGTACTAACTTCTTCAGGAATTATGCTCAAGATTCAGTAGGTAGCATCTTGTCCTCCAGCTCAACAAGCCAAAGTCTCCTCCCTACAACACATTATAGAAAAGTGCTGCATTTCTGAAGCTGGACAACATGTATTTCTGAGGTTAAACGTGATAGTTTTTTTGTATTTCTAAGTGTGAGAAAGAGCAATCTGAATTTAAGCCCCTCCTCTCATCATCCGTCGCCCATTTAGGCCTTGCATTCAGCCAGTTCTGCTTTTCTTCATGGTTTCTTCCAGGCAACCCCCTCCATTTCCTCTTCATATTCTCAAAATTAAAATATATGCCCCCTGAAAAAACTTATATAATGTAATTTGATAAAGTACTTAATGCATATAGGACAAGGTCAAAAAACTTGAAAGCCATGCTTGATTTCTCTCCATTTTACCTTTTTAACTCTCAGAAATCCCTCTCTACTAAACTGCAAAGCTCCATAGAAAAGTAATCATGCTTTTTCATTGTCTGTACATTGTTATGAACACCCATGGCACAGGATAAATTATTCATAGCAATATTTAAGATCTCAGAATACTTTTACTAAGAGCCAAATACTTAAGTGCCCCAACAAAATTGCAAGTTGAGTCACCACCTTCTGCTAAATTCCCATCTAGATTCACTCAGACAACATATATGACTTACTGAACTAAATCATTGGTGTGCACCTGAAAATGACTACCATCATATTGTTCTTCCAAGAAGCCTCATATAACTGGCAAGTGAAATGACTCCTGTATAAAATTTTGCCTATCTTGTTACAATACTACGTCGTTCAATTTCTTTGGAATGAAACTTGCTCTATAAAACGTAACTTACGGTTATAAAAGACAGAAGGAGACTTCTTATAAATATATTCAGAGACTGAATTCCATAATTTATTCTACAGATGCTCCCAAATTTCTGAAATAATTTTCCATGTTTGTATTTTGTAGCTTCACTTCTTTGCTGTTCCCCCTCCTCTTTTTATTCTCCTGTTACGTTATTCAAGCATGAACATTTTTTCCCTAAATCTCTGATCAGCAAAATTAGATATCTAATAAGTCAAAATTACATGAAAACAAAAAGCTGGATTTGATTCATCTCTTATGGTACTTGAAAATCATGTCAATTTTAAGGAAGAGTTAAAAACTGCTAACATATGTAACAGACATTTTCATAAGGAGGACTGGGGCAAAAGAAATCTCATGAGGTTTAACAAGGACAAGTGCAAAGTCCTGTACTTGGGACGAAACAATCCCATGCACCAGAACAGGCTGGGACCTGACTGCCTGGGCAACAGCTCTGCAGAAAAGGACCTGGGGGTTACAGTGGACCATAAGCCAAATATGAGCCAGCAGAGTGCCCTTGTTGCCCAGAAGGCTAATGGCATCTTGGGCTGCATTGGTAGGAGTGCTGCCAGTAGCTCCAGGGAAGGGAGTATTACCCTCTATTCAGCACTGGTGAGGCCACGTCTGGAGTACTGTGTTCAGTTTTGGGCTCCCCCATTACAGAAAGGATGTGGACAACCTGGAGAGGGTCCAGTGAAGAGCAACAAAAATGGTGAGGGGCCTGGGAGACATGACTTACAAGGAAAGACTGAAGGAACTGGACTTATTGAGTCTACAAAGAGGAGACAGAGGGGATTTTAATCAGTGCCAATCCAATATCTGACCAAAATATTTTAGGGGTAAGTTCTGCACTTGAAATTCCAATGAACTAAAAAGGTAAAACTGCAAACCTAAAAAGTATCAAATCAATTTCCTAAAGGCTCCTTCCATTACTATTTGTACAACACAATGTCAACCCGAGCGAAAGATGGGACTTCAGCCCATTTGGATAAGTATCTAACCCAGCTTTAAACAAACTGGCATGGCACCAACAGCACTTCAGCTGCAACAGCACAGATCTCAGCACGGACTAGTCACATGAGTCTTTATCCGTGGTTTGGGGTTCTGACAGCCTGTGTTTAGTCTTGTGCTGCTCTAGTTACACCGCTATCAATACCCATGCCAGTCAATTTAAAACTAGTTCAAATAATGTCTACATGGGGTGAAGTTGTACCTTACAACAGCAATGCAGAAATACCTTCAGAAATCACACCCCAACTATTCCACATGTTAAACAAGTAGTTATTTTCAGGAGAGATAAGGGTAACAATTCTGCTACTAGAATAATTTTTTAAGCCTAAGGACTCTCTCAAAAGGTGAAAAATACAATTCAAAAGATAAAATAACTGAGAAGAGAGCCTGCAACTGTAAAATATCAGTGTGAGAAATCTGAAAAAAGATTTGCCCTGGGGCAATAAGCAAAACCAGACACCAAAGGAAAGGTGGCAGTACAATCTGAGCTTAAATCCAATAAAATAGGATTGCAAACTTTTTCTCTCTTATGGACATTACTTTGATCAAAGTCTAAGAATTCTCTAATACTTTTACACTAAAATAAAATTAATAAACCTTTGTCACAAAGGTCAGTACACCTTTTCATCTTCTGCATATGTTAAAAAGGTCTCCACTTTACAAGAACACGTTATGCATGTTCCATATGCAAACACAGAAAAGCACAAGATTTAGCTTGTCAGCAAACTTAAATTTATATTGTTAAATATGAAGTAAACTACAAGCACACTAACTGCAGATAATGATAAATTACTGAAGGTACAACAAAGAAGAAACCTATTTTGTTACAGAATCGAGAAAGAACATATTTAATCTTACTGAACTAGAAATAATTGAATTACTATGTATGGTTTTATTATTCACACAACTCTAAACAGATTCACCTATATAAAGGACTAATGCAAGTAAAAGCTTGACCTTTTCCAGTTTTCAACTAACCTCCACTTTGCCACCTTTGGTTTTAGAAATGTCAGTCCAATTCGCTGAACAAGTTTCACTCCTAGCTTGCGAAGAAGCGTCTGGTTACTTTCCGAAAGCTTGCAATTATCAAGGCACTCAAGTACAGTAGAAGCTACAAAAGAAAAGAAACAGCCTGTACAAAAGTGCTATTCCTGTTTCAGGATACTCTGACTGGAAAACAAAGTTACTAATATGCAACTAATTTATTAGTCTTATTTAATCACTCTAAAACATTCACAATTAATAAAATGGAGATAACATAGTTCCCATTCATCAAAGGAATGTTGTTAATAATTAATTGAGTGACATATGTTAAGACCTCTGAAAGTGAAAAATATTAAGTCCAAGATCCTCAAATGTACATCAGTGCCTAACCTTCATTTATTTTAGTGCGAGTTAGACACGTAACCACCTTTAAGGATTTGGGCCTAAGTGTTATCATAGTAACAGATTATAGAGAACAGAACTGGGAATCAGAGGGCGCTTGTACACGTGACAAAACTGGCCTTTTATGCAGTTTAATTGCCCTTTTTAACTGTTTTAATGGCATCACCATTTACATCAGCACAGCATATTAAGTTTTAAATTTTGTCATGCTGTACACGAGGTAGCATATTTTCCTTTAAATGACTGTTACATAGCAAAGTAACACACATCCAATGTATTTTAATTTGCTACGTAACAAATTGCAGCAATACATCCAGAGAAGACGGCAGGGATGTGAGGAAGCTTGGGCTTGGTGGGCTTCCAGCATCCATGACCCACCCCCACCGCATTCTCCGGCCACCAGCACACTCAGTCGCCCTCCTGCTGCCTTCCTGCACTGCCCCAGGGGCGAGGCAGCCCATTCCCAGGTGGTCCCAGGTGGTGGGGACAGTGCACGGGGCACTAGAAGCCCACCAAGCCTGAGCTTCCCTGAGCACACCTAGGATTCCAGAACCTCATGCACTGCTGGATATGGTGAGTGCTGCCTGCAACCTGGGGCAGCACCCATCTGCTAGCACCCTGCCTGGGAGGTGCTGCTGCCACAGAGGGAAGCACCAGGCCCCCTGCAACTCAGGGCTCCACAACCCAGCAGCACCGCATGCAGGCAAGCTCCGCTTAATGCTGATGGAAAACATACAGTGACAGAAGTCCTTGCCATAATGAGCAACTCAATACCCCATCAGTAGGAAGCTGCAGAATTAAAAAGTTACCTGAGATAGGGACACTTTTTTCCACAAATAAACATAACCTTTTTTATTTGCAGCCGACAGCCAGCCCCAAATGCCTTGAAGAATAACCCTAAGGCATTTTAGTAATTACTATGGACAAGTAATTCTTTGCAGTACACTTAGGCAAGTATTGTTCTTACAGAACGTGCTACAAGCTTAAGTATTTAAAAATATTACACCGGTCCAAGAGTTCAGAAGCTTGTTACATCTGTCCTGGGTCTGTACTTTAGAAAGCACTATTAAGTTAAGGGATTAGTAACTATTTCAGACTCTAAGAAACAGCAAATCATATGAAGTAGAAATGAATGTTCCCAACTTTCAAACAGCTTAAAGGATTTATTACAAGCCCTGACAAGCTTTGAGATAGCTTGCATTTAAAATACTGTCATTCTGAACACTTTCTTGGTTTTTATTTTCCACTTTAATTCCAATTTTAGTAGTTACTTCACCAGCAACATTTACTCCAGAAATTAACACTTTATATATGAAAACATTAATGACAAATTCTGGCAATTTGAGAGAGCGAAAGAATGCTGGAAATGTCAAAAAAAATCTGAAAAAATTATTCATGATAGAGCTTGAAGATATTCATCCTACAAACGTAGGAAGTCCAGTTTAGTAGACAAGTTCAAATGCTTTCCAGAACAGGAAAATATTTCCAACCACTGGCCCTTAAACCCACTCACTTTTTTTTTTTTTTGGCAAAGGGAAATGGGGCATGGGGTAAAGGGGTGGGAACAGAAGGACGACACTGACAGGCGAACCACAGAATTTCTCCAATATATTTAATCTCTTACACATTTCTCAGCTTGCTCTCAGTTTCAGAAGTTATATTTAGATAATAGTTTGTCATCATGACATTCTTTGTCATAGTCTCTTGTCAGTTTCTAGTTTAATGCATTGGAATCCCACGTGCTTCATTCTTACTAAATTCCCAAATTATACTACACTTTTCAGTAGTAACTTAATCTGGTATCTCCTATTCTTTCACATATTTACAAATTTGTAACCATTTAAACTCTTAATATTTTCAGAGACACCATAGTCAAGGAATATGGCCAATCACAATAACATTTGCCACTAACGTTATTGTCACTGGCCATATTTCTACTCCATACTAGTACATCAGTAATGATTTTATTATGCTATTACGTTGCATGTGTATAGGCAGACTTGTATTACTGCTTATTCTACCAACAAACTATTTACATATTTTCAGGGTTTTTTTCCCTACTGTTTTTCTACTAAAATGTCCTCTTTGTTTTTACTAGACTACCAAAATAGCCAATTTCCTCAGCATTTTCTATTTCTCCCTAAACACTTATTATAGCAAGAATGAATAAGAGACTCGATGTCATAAACATCTTGGTCTTTTTCCCCACTGTCAGAAGTATTCCATAGCTTCTCCCTACCAAGGCTTTTTTCATGAGCCAGTCCATGGCCCTTATGAAAAGAAAGTTTGACAATGAATGCAGCTAAATGTGCACTTAACTGTGGAGTAGACTAATTAGCTCCACAGTAAAGGTGTCATCATCTACACATGTGCCAGTATTAGAGCACAGTAAATTAACTAACCCCACCATAAGATAGTACTGTCAGGAACAGTACTGTCTTACAGCAGAGTGCTTACATGCATTGAAACACACAGGTAGATAGTGACAGGGCCTGGCTGAGGCACAAAGATGCTACAGTGAAGGGGCTGCCTACCGCCTAGCCCTCCACTTTAGCATCCTTATGCCTCAGCCAGTTCCTCTGCCACCTGAAGCTGCCACCCAGAACCCAGGGCTGAACCCCACAGACACACTGCCAGCCCAGGACTGCTCCACTCTGGCTCAAAGTGCTGCATTCCCAGGTGCATGTGTAGATGCTGTGCCCTTGAACAGTCAACTGAAACCCAAATTGCACCAGAGTTTATTGCTCTGCCTCAATTGCACGTGTAGATGCACCCAATGTAGTATACATGATTCTGATCTTAAGCCTGTTTCTGTTAAGACTATGAAAATCAAAGAAGTTAACAGTGATTAGCATTCTTCACAAAATGAAAATTTGTTCAACACACACAATCTTCTCTGAAACCTGCTTCTTTTCCCCTTAACTGATCGTCTATCTCAGGATTCATGCATCATATCATCTCATTGCAAGACTTCTCTAGTTCTAACAGTAATACTAAGCAACTCCAGCTATCAATCTGTCAGTATTCCTTTCTTTGGTTGTTTGACAAATAAGTTCTTCTATTGGCTTTGTACTCCCTTGTCTTTCCATTCACTATTGCATATGTTGAGCAGCCTCTCATTTGTTTTTTTAGGCCGGGGTGGGCAATTATTTGGACTACTTAGGGAGTTTTGCTGAGCTGTCACAAGCTAGGCAAGCAACCCCCCGCCCCACCTGCAACAGCTCACCAAAACTCCACAAATGGCTCTGCCCCCCACAGCCAGGAGGATACTGGCTTCTGGGAGCAAGATGAACATGCAAGTAAGTGAGGCTGGGGCTGGAATTGGGATCATAGGGCTGGGTACCAGGGCACAGCCACGATCTGCTCACTGCACATACCTGTGATGGGTACCAGTTTCACGAGCAGAGGCAAACTGGGAGCAGATGGTGAACAAAAAAGAAAATACTGAATACTAAAATAAAAATAAACCTTTTTAGGTTATTTTTAGCTTATATAATATAGGAAAACAGCAAGGAATTCAAGGTCTCAAGCTAGATAGCAGTGAAAGTAGGTGGTATATCATATCAATTTCTGGAAAATAACAGTTTTTCTAACTACCTTAACTGTCCTTTAAGAATAAATCAGAGTACTTGAAACTTACCATATGGCAAACAATCTTCTCTTTTGCCATGTTTAAATAACTGTGCCTAAGGAACAAAAAAAAAAAATGTTTTTAAAACATATGAATATGCAAGTTGTAAAGCACAGGTTTTGAAAATACATAGATCCAAAGTAAGTATCAATGTTTTTGCAGTTATATACAATTTTCACTGTAACCTAATGATTCATACCCACTTTGTGATGTCCTGGGATAAACTGTTAGTACTTCTTAACCTATGAGCCTCTTTAGGATTTATCCAAGGATAATGGACATGGCTGTCTGAATGATTGAACTTTTGTCCTGGGATAAAACAGTTTATCCCTGGGACAGATGCAACATCTGTTTGTAGTCTCTCTCAAAATTGCATCATTGAACCCATGGCAGAAGACTGGCAATGCATTCATCCATTCACTATATCCTGATCAGATGGGCAAAATGTAACAAAGCAATTATAAACAAATATTTTATCCACCACTGAAAGATGACAGGCTCTGTTGATAAGGGAAGAGCAGTGGATGCGATATACACAAACTTCAGCACGGCTTTTGACATAGACTCCCATGAGAGTCTCATTAACAAGCTAAACAAATACAGAATAGATGCAAGTACATGAATAGAAAACTGGTTGGATCATAGTCATCAATGGCTCAAAGTCTATTCGGGAGGAGGTATTAAGTGGGTTTCCTTAGGGGTTTGTCCTAGGTTGGGTAATGTTTAATATGTCTTCATCAATTATATGAATGATGGGACTGAGTGCACACTTAGCAAATATGCAGATGAGACCATGTTGGGTAAAACTGCAGATACTTTGAAGGGTACAGCTAGGATCCAGAATGAGCTAGGTAGACTGGAGAAATGGTCTGAAATCAGATAAAATTCAACAAAGACAAATGCAAAGTTCTATACTTGGGACAGAATCACTGTATGCACAAACCCAGACTGAGAAATTATGGGCAAGGCTATGGAACTCAGAGAAAAGCCTAGAGGTTACAGTGAAGCAGAAACCAAATGAGTCAACATGGTTTTCTAATTGCAACAAACCCCAAAAGCATGCTAGGTTCTATTGTTGCTTGTAAATCAAGGGAAGCGATTCTTTGGCTCTACTTGGCACTAGTGAGGCATCACTTGGAGTACTGCTGCCAGTTTTGGACCTCACACTTCAAATATGTGGGCAGATTGGAAATAATCCAGCACAGAGCAACAAAAATTAGGGCTGCAAATCATGCTGTATGAGGAAAGACTAAAAGACCTAGGCTTATTCAGTCTGGGGAAGAGAAGACTGAAGGGGGATTTGGTAACAGTTTTCAAATACCTGAAGGGTGATTATAAAGATGGAGGTAGTCTTTCTCTGCAGCTATAGGCTAGGGACAGACATTATACATAAACTAGTTTAAGTGATCAGAAACTAGTTTAAACCTGTAACAGAACATAAGGTTCAGTGCACATAAACCAATTGGCTGAGACTGGTTTAAGATAAATCCGACTGAATGTAGTATCGGACTTAACTGATTTTGGTCAAACTGTTTTATGCAGTGTCTGTCCAAGACCTCTTCCTGGTTTATCTTAAACCAGAGTCCCCCAGCATCCCAGATGTTTTGCTGCCCTGGATTGGGCTGTGCAGTGCTCTGCTCCAGAGAACAAAGCTGGCCCCACTCCTTAGCCAAAGCTCTGATGGAGACTGCAGGAACAGCAAGGCCTGCCTGGCTTCCCCCTGCATCACCCCCCTTCACTGCTCAACCAGGGATCCCCCCTCCCTCTCTCATCTCCCACAGCACGGACCCCAGCCTCATGGACCCAAGGCATGTGGTACACTACCTAATGCCGAGAGATGTCTGTGTGTCTCCAGTTTCACTGGGACAAGACAAAGGCAGACAGGACAGTGTCTACTCAGGGTTTTTTGGAGCTAATCAACAGGTCAGCTGACAATGTCGCTCCATTCCTACCTTGGAAAAAGCTGTTTAAGAAGAGCTTGAACTAAGGAGAGAGGTTTTTGCTTTGTTGATTGTCTGATAAATGCTGTGTTATCAACTCCCTACTGTCAGGTTTGCAGATGGTATGAAGAAGCAGGGAAAGGGAGATGTGAAAAGCTCAGTATCATCAACAGATGTATGCACTGCACCCCACACCCCCAAACCCCTGCTTTGCTTTAGAGTGCTAGCCCAGGGCTGCACTCTAGAGTGGGGTCTGCCACCACTCCCACCCCTTGAACAGTGAACAGGGAAAAGCCTAGGACTGTGCAGGCAAGGTGGGGGTTTACACTGCTCCCTAATTAGAGAGTCCTGCCAGGGCCTGCCCACACCCCCTCATCTCAGCACTAAGGAAGGGAATGGAGGGCTGCTCTAGTGCACCACGGCTTCTAGCTCGAGCCACTGCAGGCATGTGCCTGCACTGCTTCAGTCCAGAGGAAATTTCTGTGCAGTTGCAAACCAGGAAGGTTAGACTAACCTGCAAAGACTGAATCAATTCAGGCTCAGGCTTTTTGAACGACTCCCCCTAGCCATAGAGCCTAGAAGCAATGGCTTCAAACTTCACCAGAGAAAATGTGGGTTGGAGATTAGGAGATACTTTCTGACTCAAGTGGTCAAGCATTAGAACAAGCTAACTAGAGAAACTGTGGAATCTCCACCCCTGAAAGTTTTCAAGAGCAGGTTGAGCAGACACTTAACTGAGATGGTTTAGTCAGGAATGGTCTTGCCTAAGCAGGGGGTTGGACTAGATCACCTCATTAAGTTGCTTCACATGACCCTATGAAATACATCTACCTCTGATAAAATTAGGATAATATATCTCTCTTAAAACAATATTACACAACTTACTAAATGAAGTGAAGAAAACTTTAGCTAATGAAACTACAGACAGGCAGACTATAACTTTGCTAACCACAAGCAGTCTGGCCTCAGACTCTGTGACTCAACAGACAGTTCAATAATCAGAGACCCAAAATGAAAGGAACATCTTGCACAAATTAATAATTTTAGTTCAGATTTAAATTTCTGTCATATAGAAATGTCAGTATTGAATAAATTAAAAAAGATAATGCAAACAATTGTGTATAAGTGCACAGGTACACATCATTCATTTCTCTATATTTCTGATTTACCTTTCTGTCAAGTACTAACATGACAACTCTTGAGGAACTATATACCCTACCTAAAATGAATTTTTTTTCTGGATAGAGTATTTTTTAGGACATTTTGTGTTCCTATTAAAATGTCAACAGGATTCAGCTTCAATTAGCATTACAGCAAGGCAAATGAGCTCCTGAAGCCAAATCAAATTAACATAATATTCAATGTTTCTTCACTCTCCCAAGTATGCACCCAAGCTACTGTATTAAGCAGCTTATTTTCCCTTTTGGTTTGTCATTCACCAAGAAAGAAGCCTCTTAGATAAATATGCCCAGGAGTCAAACAGAAACACAGTCCTACCTTAAAAATATTTACACATATACACCAATCAGTATTTACACACTCATATTACAGACATGGTTTAAAGACAATAAAAATACCTTAAGGCTATATACCCATTTTGTTTTGTTATTAAATTCTACTTTGAGGTCCTAAATTAGTATTTCTGATTACAGTATCACAAGCTATACAGTGGATTTTTAAGATTCATAACAATTTATGTTTTAAAACGTATATTAATAAGTCATGCACTTGAAAATTTCCTCAGTCCTAAATAACTTACAAAGGAGAAATGCTACAAAGCCACCTGTGACCCATAAAAGGCAGTCAAAAGCAATCATAAACAACATTTTATCATGAAACTGCTTTTCATATATGCAGCACAATTCTGCTTGCACTCAAATCAACTGAAGAGGAAGAGGACTCAATCTGCATTTCTTTCACAATATACCAGTCTAGGCTGTCTTCATTAACAAGGTCTTTGCAGTCACCTGCTTTGGCTCATTTCTGTCCCACCCTGACTGCAGAAAAATGGTGTTACAGAGGTGTTGTAATGTCATCTGCCATCCACCAGCAACTCTCCAAGCTAGTAAGGAAGCTATTATTCAGATTTTTGGACAAGTCGCTAAACCCACCACTAACCACTGAAGCATCTTTTTTCATGGGGGAACTATGCCTTCCTATCTTTTTGTGATCTTAGCCTAATGCCCTCCAATTCTGATACTAGCATACCAGAAATAAATTACCCAAAGAACCTTGTCTGCTTATTTCCATATGGAAATTCAGACAAAAACGAGTTGTTTTAAAAAACACAAACTCCCAATGATTTACAATAACCAAACTCAAGTTGACTGAAAAATAAATAGTAAAACATAATGTGCATCAGTCTTCTCACGAGATTTGATACATAAGTGGTGAAGCAATTTCTTCCCTACCAACATACAGAACCAGTGCCAGCTGCAGTACAGCAAAAAGGGCAGATATTTACAGTGCCAATCTAAAGGTTAAAATCATTACAGAAGCTAATAATCATTAGGCATTCATACTAAAAAACAGACAATAGTTTATTTTCAAACAGCACAATACACTGTGAACATTCAAAAGACTAATTGTATCTATTTTAAGTAATTGGTTCTTTGATCACACTGTTACAAAAAGCTAATTCATTGTAACCACTGACAATTAATTAAATTAGATAAGAATTGTATTGGGTCTACAGAGAAGCTCTGACTAAAACATGATGAAATGAAATATACCTGTGCAGTATAATTCAAAAAGTTACATCAAGAACACATTTTTCATGTAGTAAAAGGCACCTGTCTCCTGAGACAACAGAATAACGCTGAGACACCAGCTCACTAAACATAACCGTTGCTTGAAGATAAAGCGAAGCTGGTGTGACCTCTCCATCAAAAGCCTGGGCAGAGTATATGGAGACAACTGAACTGCCCACACACCTATGAATGGTTCTTGTGAATTCCAATACATATTCCATGTAAATACATGCTCTACTTAAGACTACCTTTAGAAAGCATCCAAGAGTTTCAGCTCCCGCAAAAAGTAGTGACCTACCTCCTTAGTAACTATAAGGCTTCAAGAACGTACTATTAAGACCCAAACCCCATGCTGGCTACATACG